AAAGAACTTTGTGTCTGTCTATTTGTAAAGATGTCAGATTCGGTTGATAGTACCTTGTAATCAAAGAACTTTGTGTCTGTCTATTTGTAAAGATGTCAGATTCGGTTGATAGTGCCTTGTAATCAAAGAACTTTGTGTCTGTCTATTTGTAAAGATGTCAGAATCGGTTGACAGTGCCTTTTAATCAAAGAACTTTGTGTCTGTCTATTTGTAAAGATGTCAGAATCGGTTGACAGTGCCTTGTAATCAAAGAACTTTGTGTCTGTCTATTTGTAAAGATGTCAGAATCGGTTGACAGTGCCTTGTAATCAAAGAACTTTGTCTCTGTCTATTTGTAAAGATGTCAGATTCAGTTGATAGTACCTTGTAATCAAAGAACTTTGTGTCTGTCTATTTGTAAAGATGTCAGATTCGGTTGACAGTGCCTTGTAATCAAAGAACTTTGTGTCTGTCTATTTGTAAAGATGTCCTCTGCTGAAAATGAAGATAAAGAAAATTTCTTTAATAAGATACATATCTGATAAGTGTGTTAATGTGATACCAGCATCAGATTACCTCTCTGTTTTTAACTTCCAAATAAAACGGACACATATACATACCTCTTTACTGAAAATGAACCATTGAACATAAACTTGAGGTATTTGTATATAAAGTTTAGTTAATTAATCCCTCAAACTACTTGTTAAGACTTTCAAACTCTGTATTTCAACACTATTATCTTTAATAGCACATGTACATTTGTTGCACCTATTCCAGACAACAATGGTGCAATTGGTGGCAGGTGCATGCCTGACATCTGTCGGTTAAAATTTCAAAGGAGTACGAGATAGATCTGACTCGAAAGGTTTGAAAAGTTTAAATAAATTCAATACAATTATAGCTGACTAAGTTGGGAGTAGTAACTGTAGATTTAAATAAATTTGTATTTCTGAACAAAAGAACTTGATGTGTATACGTATTACCAACTTTAAAAAAACTTTGTAGCACGTACTACACGTTTAACGTTTTCTACTTCTATTATAAGTTAAATAAGTACCTTCCCAACTCAGGATTTCTGCTTGAAACACATGGATGGTTGCCCCTGAAAAAACACAAAGAGCAAAGAGTTGATAGCTACACACATTCCATTTTCATTTCACAGATTCGGGACAACAGATTTACAATCGGTGAAGAAATTAATTAGTATCCAAACTGGATTACCGAATACTCTCTGTGGTTCTGTCTTCAGATCTGATTCTACTGAACATTATCGGAATACCGTATTACAGGTGTCGGCAACGTTTTTCTATTGGGTGCCACTTATCAATATTCAAAATTTAAAACCCTCTGCACGTGCCACCATTGTTTCTTAAATTTAGGTTAAAATATTATAATTTTATGATATGTGTAGTTTGATTATCTAGTTAGTAGTTTATAATAATACATAAATATGGTGTATATTTTTTTTTAATCATACTTTAATTAAAAGAGCTCAAAAGTTGTGTTTTTCTTTATTTTTTGTAAAAAAAAAATTAAGTTTTTTCTTCTTTGAATTAGTGTGCCACACAAAATATCTTCATGTGCCACAAGGTGGCAAACACGCCTTGGGTTGCCGACTCCTGCAGTATTACTTGCACTGTTACTTTTATGAAAATATTATCTTGGGTATAAACTATGTTAAGCTTCTACATCTGATTCAGTAAAACTTGTCCTGAAAAGAAAAGTTACAAAAGAAAAAAGTATATCTCAGGTTAACCGATTTATAAAACTGACTCAGGTATCCGCTGATTCTAGGAACTTTTCTTTATGCTCCTAAAGTTAGCATTGAAATTACTGTTTGTCAAAATCTTAATTAAAGTTAGTTTGTTGTAACAGAGGATCTGAATTTTAGACTTTATAACGAGAAATAAGTGACTGTATCTTAAGATGTTGTTTTGCATTCAAAGGTCAGAACAAAATAAAACCTATGCAGTTTGAAAACAACAAAAATTACATATATAACCACAAAATACAGATCAGTACCTAATCTGATGAAGAATATAATTCTAATTTGTTTATTTTCTAAGAAGAAGAAGAAACAATAATCCCAACAAACGGAAAAAAAAAACTCTAATCTGTTTAATCCAATGAACTTTACCCTTAAATATATTTGAATGGATTTTTGTTAACATTAAAATACATAACAAAAAGGAGCAATATGGCTAAACACACAAACTAAAATGTACATTTTGTATTAATTTTAGTTCCATATTATTTAAAAGAGTGAGATTTTATCTGATATTTTAACAGGAAATCAAACACAAAATATTTTTTATTTTATTATAATACAGAATTACTAAGACAAAAAAATTAACTATTCATATTATTAAAAAAAAATACCAAAACAACACAGTTACACTTATTTTCTTATGCAAAAACCCCTTAAGCTAGTTACTGAAGAGAAATACATATAAGAATGTTCCGGGAAATATGAAACATGCCTTACAGGAAGATCACCGTTCAAGTCTCTTATCCCAGTAAGTCTAGTAATTTAAAATCTAATATAAATAACACTAACCATTAAATGTTAAAGCTTTTAACATGACAATTATGCAATACAATATGACTAAAACCAGTAAAATATTTCAAATAATCCTCTTTTTTTTCCTTTATAAAACTATTTACAGAAGTGTTAGTTAATTATGAATGATATTCCAGTTCTTCCGTGTTGCAAACAGTAAATTAGTTGCTTAACAGCTTATACAGAATGTTTTCAATGTGATAAGTTTGTATTTTTTTATAGATAGATAAAAATTACTAAAGTTAGTTCAAGAAGACCAGTGGAGTGACATAATACTAAAACATCTGTAAGTTTTGTTTTGTTTACTTGAGGTAATGTATACCATAATACTATAAATATGGGATGGGAAAGCCATCTACTGATTTGGTTATTAAACACAAACCTGAAAAAAGGGCTACGGTCACGACACAAGCTCAAGAATTCCTCATCTCTGTATATGTACCGGAGATCATTCTTACACCCTACCAAAACTATTGGTGTGTTTGGACAAAATTTTCGAATCTCTGGATACCATACGACCTTACAGTTTCGAAGGGATAATGGGTTGGCAATTGAAAAGCACAGTAAAACCACATCTGATCTAGAAAATGAAACAAACATTAAAGTGTATACCAAAATCACAACACCCTATTAACTAACTTACATGACCATTACCTAAACTAAATCTTTACAAGTTGCATCACATCAAAAGTTTTTTTTATTTAATTATATTTATCTGTATCAACCAGTCTTGAACAAACCTATTATTCTGTACCTTTACTACTTCTCATTTAAAAATATTTACAAGTTATCTGTCAACACTGTTATGATTCATCACCAAAAGCAAATTAACACAGCTAATTAGTCAACTAAATAAATATTGTAAACTTAAAAACACTATATATTGTTTTAACAAATTAACAGGAGTTATTAACAGTATTCCAAATTAAATAGAGAATGATAAACAAACCATAAAACTTAATAGCAAATGAACAAAATAACTGTTAACTCTTATCAGTTAATCTCAGTTAAAATTAGTGATTGAATAATAAAGCCTAACATAGCATACAGATAACTTTCAAGCTGTTAGAAAATTAACATATTTTATGCATCTAGCTTCAAAGATGCATTCAACTCAGTTTTCTTAACAATGAACAATATTCCCATATTCTTAATGATGAAAAATATTCTAATGTTTTAATAGTAAACAATATTATTACATTCTTAATGATGAACAATATTCTCAAGTTTTAATGATGAATAACATTTTCACATTCTTAATGATGAATAATATTCTTATGTTTTAATAATAAACAATATTCCCATATTCTTATGTTTTGATAATAAACAATATTATCACATTCTTAATGATGAACAATATTCTTATGTTTTAATAATAAACAATATTCCCATATTCTTAATGATGAATAATATTCTTATGTTTTAATAATAAACAATATTACCACATTCTTAATGATGAACAATATTCTTATGTTTTAATAATAAACAATATTATCACATTCTTAATGATGAATAACATTCTCATGTTTTAATAATGAACAATATTATCACATTCTTAATGATGAACAATATTCTCATGTTTTAATAATAAACAATATTCCCATATTCTTAATGATGAACAATATTCTAATGTTTTAATAATAAACAATATTCCCACATTCTTAATGACATATAATAGTGATAACAGTACCATTCTTAATGATAAAAAATTAAATTATTCCCATGTTTTCAATGATGAATAACATGTTCTTAATGATGAACAATATTTTCATGTCCTTAATTATGAATGATATTCTCAGATATTTAAAGATGTATAGCATTCCCACATACTTAATGATGAATAATTCTAGGTGCATTATCTTGCACATCATTTTCTCAGAGAAAAAATGGAAATTATAAGATGCTTTAGGTCAAGAGCACACAAAAGACAGACTATTCTAAAATTACCACTATGATGTTCAAATATTTCTCGATCTTTCTCATGTAATTTTAAATGTGTGAGGTATTATGTGTGAGGTAGTCAAGAATCTTGAAGATTCATATGAGGAATTATTCTACTAGCATCCAAATGTTGTGAAATGAGAAAATGATAAACATTGTACTGACATTTCAAGGTTTATCAGTTATACCTTATCATTAAATTAAAGTCATGCCAAACTTGACCGATTTATTATGTATAGCTACACCTTGTGGCTTACAAAATATTCTAGTAGATGTATACAAAAACCGCAGAATGGCATAACATACCTTCCATATGCAAACCTTCTGTCTTTATCATGGTCTCCAAAAGTGTCCCACAACCGAAGAGAAATACTGACACCATCCACAACATCCCAAGAGCGTTCCAACACCTACTCAAGACACAAAAACCATATGAATACGAACAAAAACTGGTTTAACACATCATCTTTATCATTATAACTATAAAAATGGTTATTTCTCAAAATATTGCTTCAGTAAAAAAGAAATACTAAAATATAATATGGTTGTCACAATTAACAATTCACAAATCAACGTCTTATGTTCCTCAAGTACAAATCCAGTGACACTGAACAAACCAAGAAGTAATATTTTTTTTACACATCCTTCAAATTTTCAGAAGCTACAGTAATACATGTGATGTTTCACAAATCAAATCAGTTCACAAGATTTTTAAATAAATTGTTTTTTCTACGGGTATTTCATACTTAACCCACGTACCAAGTTTGGTACTACCATTACTATCTTTCTCTATTTTATTGTTCTTACAACAAATAAAACATAAAATTCAGTGTTCAATTCTATTTGTTACTCCAAGACATGTATATCCTTCACACATGATTCATTAGTCTGCAAAAAAAAAATCACGTAAAACATAATGTAAATGTAGTCTTTAAAACATTTTTATGTTGCCATATAACTCGTCTATAAACAACCAAAACAGGGTAATCACAAATGTTAATCAACTGCCACATTTTGTTTACATCCCGAGTCATTCTTAAAACAATTTTCAGAGAGATAAGATAAACACAGTATAAACATAATATCAACCTAAAATATTATGCTTGATACATTTCAGTTATTTTCTAACATTTGGAAAGACAGTTAACGAACATATCATATATTTAGTGTCAATGTTCATAAAATATTCTTTTAATTTTTTTTGTTTTAAAGCACAAAACTTCCCTTTATACACAAATGATAAGTTTATGTTTAAAAATAAACCACAAATCTTACATGTAAGTGTTAAAACTATCAAAAAGTTAAAATGTGTTCAGGAATAAAACTCAAATTATTATCTTTAAAAACATTATATATATATACACACACATCATCGGCACTACTATATTGTGCAGTCTACAAAGATATTTACACTATAACGTGTGGTCTACAAAGATATCTACACTATTGCGTGCAGTCTATAAAGATATTTACACTATAGCGTGCAGTCTACAAAGATATTTACACTATAGTGTATGGTCTACAAAGATATTTACGCTATAGTGTACGGTCTACACAGATACTGTCATCATCATCATCACCATTTTAACTTTCGTTTATTTGCAACTGTCACCATTTATTATAAATAATGTTTTTAAATTAATAAACTACAACATACCATTACATAACGTTGGGGGGGGGGATATAAACGAAGGGAAATAAATTCCAACAATCAAAACTAGCACAATTATAACCTAAATTTAAGGTGCTCTTTTGGAACACGCAACTAATTAAGTTATTATTACTTGCTGAACAAAAACGTGGATAGATATAAATCATTTAACAAGAAATTATGTTTTAGTGAATCATTAAAACAGTGGATGATGATAGTATCTGTGTAGACCGCACGGAAACAGTAGCACACTATGTTCCTTTATTACATAAAAACTAAGGCAAATACATTTCTTAAAGTGCATAAGCAAATTCTATCAGAATATACATCTTTTTCAAGGCATTTCCTCAAGTTCTAGATACCTGGAGCTTAACATTAACATTGTCTGTAGAAATACAAAATTTTAGTGCTTAGAAATTAAAATTTCATAGCATCATTAATAATCTCTGTGGCATAGTGAAAAGACAAAAACTCTGTCAAAAAGAGGTCATATGAATAAGCCAATGATGAAGTTCCTTCATATTTCACTAAAAATGCAGAATTCATATTGAAATTATAAGGTCAGGCAACAGTATATATTTAAACTACAATGTTAAGAGCTCTTTCATTGACAAAAGCCCCCCAGTGGCTCAGTGGCAAGTCTGAAAATTTGTAACACCAGAAACTGGGTTTTGATACCTGTTATGTAGCTTTGCACTTAACAACAAAACAAACAAATTTTTTGTCAGGAGAAGAGCTCTGCAGCTCTTCACCACTGGGGGGCAATGCCAACAATAAAGAGATCAGGCCTCATACTGGGAAGTTAAAATGATACTCCCACTGTGAAGGAAATAGTTCTAAAAATGTTTCATAAAATTCCAACGAGTCATACACGTTGAGTTACTTTTAATATCAGACAAAAGGAGGACTGTTTGCTGAACTACTAGCAAAGCTACTCGAGGTTTATCTGCACTACTAGTCAGTAATTTTGAAATGATAAGCTACAGGGAATGCAGCTGGTCAACAAAACCTACTGCCTACTCTCGAACACGACTTATTTATTTACTCTTTTGTTTGTTGTTGTTGTTGGCTACGCGACAAGAACCACAGATCCAAAGTCCGGCACAGTAACCCCTGTGCTGTACTGTCCCAATAAATGGGGGGAAACCTAAACACAATCACCAGAAAATTGCATGAAATCTTGATTATCAAACTCACCAAATACATTATTATTTTAATGACGACAATTTTATTAAAGAAATGAAAGGATCATTACCACGTCTACCACTTGAACTCTTGTCACACAAAAAATACATAAAACATTCTTTTTTAAGGACATGCTTCAGTTTTATGGAGACTTTTCTGGAAATATTCTATCACAAAATCACTGTTTAAATCTTTCTTTCCATGCCAAATCTAATAAAAATCATGATAACATATAGATAAAACTTCCAGCAAACAATATTAGGAGACAAAAAAAAGTAACTATGTGGACAACACCTACTTAGAACCCTTCATTAGTTAACCAGCTTATAAAGACAACACCTACTTAGAACCCTCCGTTGGTCACCGGCTTATAAAGACAACACCTAATTAGAACCCTTCATTAGTTAACCAGCTTATAAAGGCAACACCTAATTAGAACCCTTCTTTAGTTAACCAGCTTATAAAGACAACACCTACTTAGAACCCTCCGTTGGTCACCACCTTATAAAGACAACACCTACTTAGAACCCTTCATTAGTTCACCAGCTTATAAAGACAACACCTACTTAGAACCCTTCATTAGTTAACCAGCTTATAAAGACAATGCCTACTTAGAACCCTTTATTAGTTAACCAACTTATAAAATGAATGTATACTATCCTGGTTGACATCTTCAACTAAATCCATTTCAGTGTAAAATTAGTAAACATTATTTGGACTAATTTTGTTTATAAACACAGTGCCCAATGCAAGTATTGCAACCTGGATTTCAAACCCCAAGATTTACTGCTGAGCCATTGGGGGGGAGATCACGATAATAAAATAATTCATAAGCAAAAGGGGAACATTTAGTGTACCACACTTGGCTTTTTAACACCTTAACAACAACAGTGACCCAGCTGTTTCTAACTGTTTAAAACTACGCAGAGTAAGAGAATTTTAGACACAATTTATGTAATTTCACAAAAGCAGTTGAACATTTTCGTAACAACGACAGTTTTTGGACTTTAAAAGTGCTTCCACAGGTCATTAATCAAGCCGACTGTCCACCAGACACCTGTTGCTAAGCGCCAAGAAACAAACTCAGTCCTAACTAAGTCAAAAGCTAACTTATAACACTGTCCTAGACTTTACTTTGCTAAGCCTAAAAAAATCACGTTTATTATGCAGTCAACCACTGATTATGCAGTTCGTTTGTAAAAAAAGTTCCACGACTGCATAATTACATCAAACTCGGAACTCTATTTACAGGATCGATGACGTGAACAAGTATATCGCTTCCGAGTCATGATTTTATTTCTCGAAGTTTCTCATGACTTGCCATTTGCTTATTTGCAAGCACGCATAACTGGAAGGTAAAAAACTCTCAAAACATTACCCATGATGCCTCAAATGAACAATATTTTTCTCATTTTTGTGCCAGATTCTTTATATGCCCTTTCTCGCTGGATAAAAAATAACATTTTTTTTAATAATTACTACAGACAAATTTTAAAATATTACTATTTTTTGTTTTCTTAATTATCAATGAAGAAGCCAAAAAAAAGCCTTAAATAATTCAACTCTGGCATATAATTTCACGATAAAAAATGCAGTACATATGACTCAACAGATAGCCAACTACCTACGTTTCTGATATATGTACTAAATTCAATGAATATCATATTGATAAATCAATAAATTGAGCGTGAAAGCTGATTCACATTACGTAAGTGAAAAAAGAGTGAAAAGCCAAGACTCTACAAATTAAAAAAGGGGCAAATATACGTTAATGTAGGGTTAAGGAAAATAGGAGATAAAAAAATACTTTACTAGAAGAAAAATATTAACATTTTTACGCGGGCTTTTAGTAACGGTTAAATGCTATCATGCACGTTCTTTATTAAAATAAGCGTCTCTACAACTAATAAAAAAATAAACGTGTAAAGTCTGTGAAGGGACCTCTTGTGTCGGCTTCGCAAACGTGATCACAACCACATATATTAAACAGAAATATATAAGGACGAAGGCTGACACACCCCTCTACACACCCGCTAATACTGTGGTAAGAAACCTCAACAGCCAGCGACTTTCGTAAATCGCAGTTTTCAATCATCGTTGACGTCACGGTCGACCTTGAAAATTCTGTTTATTCCTATACCTCGCACGTTACGCATACGCGAGCTGCACGCGCTCGATATAATTCAACGGCTTCTAAAGATGGCGATAAACGAGAACAGTATTGGCGGGATCGAAACCTGATATTACATGCAGATGGCAACCCTGACTGGTCTACCATCCATGGTTTCTAAACCAGCCTTTCTAGCTTTTAATATGTATTTTGGACAATGTTAAGAACGCGAACTTATTCATTAACTACTAATTATAAAACTGATCCGTTATGAACCATTTTGTAACAACTGTAACGCCACGAAGGTATTGTTTTAAATATAAAGCTGTGAAGTTTCAACTTCTGTTACCCGCCGTCAAACTTCACTAAACAATGAACGGATTCTGTTACCCGCCGTCAAACTTCACTAAACAATGAACGGATTCTGTTACCCGCGTCAAACTTCACTAAACAATGAACGGATTCTGTTACCCGACGTCAAACTTCACTAAACAATGAACGGATTCTGTTACCTGACGTCAAACCTCACTAAACAATGAACGGATTCTGTTACCCGACGTCAAACCTCACTAAACAATGAACGGATTCTGTTACCCGACGTCAAACCTCACTAAACAATGAACGGATTCTGTTACCCGACATCAAACCTCACTAAACAATGAACGGATTCTGTTACCCGACATCAAACCTCACTAAACAATGAACGGATTCTGTT